AACGAAAGTGTGTGGGCTGCGTAGTACATGAATAATGGGGATAATAGGTGGAAGAGTAGTGTTGGGGTGGCTTAGGGGGGCCAATTGGGCCGTAAAACACGCGGAGGGGCGAATTTCGGTGCAACGAGTCTAGCTTTCGTATGGCGAGAAACGCTTACTGTAGCACTGAGAACAAGTTCCTCGTTTCTTCGCAGGAACTACAGGTCTTGCTGTCCTCCACAAGTGTCGTAGCCACGGCAGTACCACGAGCGGGGAAGTACTCAAACCTTCTGCGTTTAGTAAAGGAATGCTCAAGGGACGTATTGATCGAGGTGGAGCGCCGCTTTGGAAGGTAGCGTTTTGTGTGCCGAGAAGCACTGGGTTTGAGCTGCGTGGTCGGAGGTGTTCGAGAATAAGGGTTGATGCGATATTAAACGATGTTCATGACAAAACACGCATTTGCAACAAATGCATTGTTTGCACCCCATTTCCTTGTTGCTTTACAAACAAGATTTCGCGAAAAAAAACGTTTTGAAACGACGACGCCCGGTACTGGTACTGTAGAATAGTAGCGAACGAGCCGGCTTCCCTGTTCTAAAGACGACAAGCGAGCTGCGCACGTGCAAGTGCTACCGGAGTCGGAAATAAAGAACGAACGACACAACGAGTGATAGGATTTTCACTGCAAGCCAAGGCTTCGCGCGAGCTTTTGAACTGCGCACGTGCAAGTGCTACCAGAGTCGCCGCCGCCGCCGCCGGAACGACGACGACGACTGATAGGATTTTCACCGCAAGCCAAGGCTTCGCGCCAACCAAGAACTGCGCACGTGCAAGTGCTACCGGCGTCGCCGCCGCCGGAACGACCACGACTGATAGGATTTTCACCGCAAGCCGCCGAACAAACAGCAGCTTCGTGCGAGCCAAGAACCGAACACGTGCAAGTGCTACCGAGCGTCGTCGGACAGAACGATACTTCAATGACTGGTAGGATTTTCACCGCAAGCCAAAACAAGGCTTCGTGCGAGCTAGCATATCAATAGCGGTGTCACGGGCTCCAGCTTCTCTACCCCAGGTTTCTTGCCTACCTGCCTTGCCTTTCCCCCCCCCATTCCCCAAAGCAAAGGCAGGCGGCCAGGTAGAACCAGCTATCATCGTAACGAATTAACGGCGTGCGAGCAGTACACAAGTACACAAGTACACAGAGAGCCGTCTGCCCGCCGAGAAATCCAGCTAGATCTCGACAGCTGCTGCCAAGAAACCACCAGAGGTCCCGATTTCGACATCGATCTGCACAGAAATCAGAAATCAGAGATCGCCCTCTGATCTCGACGTCTGCCCAGAACAAATCAGAAATCAGTCTCCTCGATCTCTCGACACCTACCTGCCGAGAACCATAAACATAAATCTCTCGACGAAACACCGTACTCCGGTCTAGAACCTAGACCCCCCCCCTCTCGCCTTTTTGGTGTTGCCTTGTCGTCCGTTCTTGGAAACAAACGTGGTATTGTGGGGGGCGGGTGGGCGGAAGAAGGTCTTGACTTGGAAGAAGGTCTTGACTTGCTTGGTCTTCTTACCCACAGAACGGCGCGACCTGCTTCAGTGTGAGGGAGACAAGGGGCAGCGAGGCCGAGCGAGGGGGGTCAGCCGCTGCGTGGCTCATCGGCGATAAGACGAAGACGAGCGAGCCACAACGACCGGCGAGAGCTGCTGCCGTACTTGTTTGCTCTAGAAAACAAACACACACGTTGGTTGAAACGACGACGCCCGGTACTGGTACTGTAGAATAGTAGCAAACGAGCCGGCTTCCCTGTTCTAAAGACGACAAGCGAGCTGCGCACGTGCAAGTGCTACCGGAGTCGGAAATATAGAACGAACGACATAACGAGTGATAGGATTTTCACTGCAAGCCAAGGCTTCGCGCGAGCTTTTGAACTGCGCACGTGCAAGTGCTACCGGAGTCGCCGCCGCCGCCGCCGGAACGACGACGACGACGACGACTGATAGGATTTTCACCGCAAGCCAAGGCTTCGCGCCAAGGCGGCCAGGTAGAACCAGCTATCATCGTAACGAATTAACGGCGTGCGAGCAGTACACAAGTACACAGAGAGCCGTCTGCACGCCGAGAAATCCAGCTAGATCTCGACAGCTGCTGCCAAGAAACCACCAGAGGTCCCGATTTCGACATCGATCTGCACAGGAATCAGAAATCAGAGATCGCCCTCTGATCTCGACGTCTGCCCAGAACAAATCAGAAATCAATCTCCTCGATCTCTCGACACCTACCTGCCGAGAACCATAAACATAAATCTCTCGACGAAACACCGTACTCCGGTCTAGAACCTAGACCCCCCCCTCTCGCCTTTTTGGTGTTGCCTTGTCGTCCGTTCTTGGAAACAAACGTGGTATTGTGGGGGGCGGGTGGGCGGAAGAAGGTCTTGACTTGCTTGGTCTTCTTACCCACGAGCTTCGGACGACACGGTGGTACACGAACGGCACGGCGCAACCTGCCTCAATGACGGGCAGACACAAGAACAGTGGGAGTGAGATTTTCGGCAGCTAATCGACGGGGTGTACTCTAGTCAAATTCTGTCTTAGGCGGGTACATACTCTGGATCAAGGTGAAACCGACCGTTGTTGATTTGAACGTGCCCAATTTCAACCTCGCGTTTCACCTGTAGACCGGGGTATACCCTGCCACGGCTACGCTTCTCGACATCTTTACCCTGTTACTCGACATGTACCCTGCGTTGATCGAAATGGGACCGTGTCGTCGGCCATGGTATTTGCAGGCATATATATTTTTCCAATCAAGGGACACCTTGAGAATATGCCCAATGCCCAATATCCGGCAGGGTTTCTACCCCATTCACTGCAAAGACTTCAATACACACCCTTCGACTGTGGATGCATCTCCTTGGACTGTGGCTTGTTTCGAACGGGTAGAGTCAAGTGATGTGGATGTTTGCTTTCAACCACTGAAGTCAACCGCGATGCTAGACACGCTGCATGGTTGAACGCCGCATGGTTGACGCTCCGAAAGGATCAGAAGACGCCGCATGACGCACTTCGACAGGGTACTTGTAGTGGATCTGGATGGATGGATGTGTGGTCTCGCGGCGGAGAGTGGGAGAGGAGAGAGATGCACTTACACACCCCACGGCCAAGTGCATCATCACGAGACAAACGAGTTCTAGACTACTGTAGACGTGCTATGGAGAGTGCTGCATAGACCTACATAATCGGACAGAAAGACAGCGTGGCTGACGGTGGGATGTAGCACCGCAACAACAACAAACCTCACGCGAGCCAGCCAAGAATTGCAAGCTGCATGCCTACCAAGTCGTACACCAGTACATTCTGCTGTAGTTCTACAGCAGTACGACAGACCATGCAACGTCCGGTAGGATTTTCACCGCAACTCCAAGCTTTTTCGTGCGAGTCACAACTCCAGCAAAAGACCCATCTCAAAAGGACACGATACCGGTTGGGTCTGTTTGAAACGGCACGATACCGGTTCAAAACGTCTTTTTTTCAAAAATATCGGTTGACCCATGTTCCTATACAACCCAATGGGTCTTTTTCTCAAAAAGACGTTTTGGCGATTTTTGCGATATTTTTTGAAAAAAAGACACTTTGAACACGTATCTTTTTGAAAAAAAAAGACACTTTCCGAAAATACACGCTTTCAAGTATCTACCGTCCCTCAACCTCCGAGTCAACCTCCGAGTCAACCTCGGGGTAGACTTCTTTGTTGACACCTCGTGCTGACTCTTAGGTCCGATCGTACCTTGAAGTTTACTTCCTCACTGACGCCACCCGACAGGTATTTCCCTCAAAAAGACACTTGAACATACATCTTCTTAAAAAAAGACACTTTCCGAAAATACACACGAAAATGCACGTCTTCAAGTGGGGTGAAAAATTTGAATACTTTTTTTTCTTACTCTGCAGGCCACCTCCGAAGGCGACCCTTTCAGGTCGGGTTCCGAAACCCAACCAACTCGTTGGAGAAACGCGGCCAACCCTCGCATTTCAACCTCGTGAATACCAAGGAAGCTTTAGGAATCCCGGGTACCATGTATCCTCCAAGACAATTGAAAGTCAGGGTGCGTACGCCGGGGACGAGGTCGAGGGCAGAGCCGACGGGAAATCCGGGGAGAAAGCCGAGGAGAAAGCCGAGACGAAAGCTGAGAAGAAAGCCGAGGAGAAAGCCGAGGAGAAAGCCGAGCAGAAAGCCGAGCAGAAAGCCGAGGAGAAAGCCGAGAGCAAAGCCGAGAAGAAAGCCGACAAGAAAGCCGACAAGAAAGCCGAGGGTAAAGCCAGGAAGGGTAAGGGCAAAGCTATCGTCGAGGTCGTCGAGGAGAAAGAGGTCTCGGAGGAGGAAGTCCCGGAAGCCAAAGGACCCAGAAGGTCTGGTCGTCCTTTGCAACCGAACAGAAACCGTGCGGGGACTACCGGGGCGTCGGCTTGGGTGAGCTACGGCCCGAAGCATCTCGAGGCTGCCGGGCAAACCGGCGTTCGAGCGTCGTCTACCAAGCGCAAAAATGAAGGAGGTGCCTCTTTTGCCGTGGACTCGGACGATGAGGACGACTACTACAACTCCGAGTATGGGTCAGACTCAGACTCACCTCCGGACTCGGACGCTGAGATCGACGATGAAGCAGAAGAGGAACAGGAGGGTGAGGAGCAGGATGAACCCGTCGATCCGGTCGAGCCCAGCGAACCAGGTACCCCTGTGAGGCCTGCAAAGAAGGAGAGGAAGAAACGTGACCACCATGACTTCTACGATCCTTTGTTCAAAAGTGCCCCCGTGGGAAAGAAGGAGGAGGCGGCAAAGTTCAAGGCAGAAGCTGTAGGCAATCAAGCGCCGAAGAACATGGGGAGACATCACACTTCGGGACGCGTGTGACGTTCTTGACGCAGTTCTGACCGAGGACTCCACGAAGGCTCCGTTGAAAGAAGGCGTCGACGTTTTCTTTGACCCCGAGAAGTTCAAGGAGAAAAAGATTCTGGACGTGTTCATGAAGACCTTCCCGTACGACGCGGGCGAGCTTGGTGTGAGGGAGGGCACGGAGATCCTTGTGGGGAGTTCCAGGGGAAAGGTGGTGAACACGAAGCACGACCGCGCCATGATCGAAGTTGGTGGACGAACCTTGGATGTGTCGGTTCTCTTCGTCCTAGAACACGCCGTAAGGGAGCAAGGGGTGGCAACTGTGGAGGCAGCTCAGCGCAAGTTCCTGTTGTTCCTACACCAGGTAGTCGCCATCCCGGACTTCTTCGTCCCGAACCACTACAGGATCGAAGGGAAAGCTTCCTGCGCTCAGAGTAGGTTTACTACGGATGCCGAGGCAGAGATCGCCAAGCTGCAACTCAAGCAGAGGGTCAAGCCTACTGCCGAACGTCAGGGCAAGATTACCCGCCTCCAGAAGAGGTTGGACGGCATGACCAAGATCAGACCGATGATTTGGAGGGTTCTTCGGGTAATCTCGGTACAAGAGACGCTCCGGGTGGTGCCCGATGAAGAGACTTTAGAAGGGTTTACCACGCGGGAAGGCTCCATGCTAGAAATGCTCGGTCTGAAGAGGTTTGAAGACACGGAGTACAGCTTCCACAACGGCAGCATGGGGATCTTCGGGAGCAAGCTCTACTTCCGTGACAAGTCAATCGCAACGGAACTTATCTCCACGCTGGTGCAGACTCTTCTACAGGCGTTTCGCCTCAACAGACCCGTTTGCCTCCAATCCGCCGTCTACCCTCTCACGTTGAAGGAACTGGAAGCCGTTGCCGCGAACGTGAAGTTCGGCAAGGAGGCTTTGGAAGATAGGGCCAAGCACTCGCAGGATACTGATACTGAGGCGCCTACAACGAAGACGAAGGCACTTGAAGCACTCTTGGCAGTTGATGGCAATTGGATCCCGGACCTTCCTCTTTCTATCCTTCGGACGTTGAACAGGGAGGGTGAGCTCCTTCCAACCAGCCTCGACGGCGTCTACTCCAAGACTAGGGTGCTCTTCAAGCTGCGAGAACGATCGGTGTATATGGTGCCTGACAACGATGACGGAGACAAGCCGGTGTTCGACAAAGTCTTAACGTACTTCAGGTTGGTCGCCAACATCGTGAGGAATGAGAAGGAGATCTACGTAAACAACCAAGGTGAGGCACGTGGGTGATCTTAGACAGGTGCCTCTTTGTGCAATTAATTGTATATACATACCTTTGTGGACAAATTTCACCAACCACGCCACGATTTTCACCATGTCTCAGGTCAGATTGGGCCCGGCCGGAAGTATCAGCAAGGGAGGTTGGCAAATCCGTGGACACTTGCCCCGCATGTCGACTTCATGGTCATGAGCCTGATAAAGGACAGGTTGAAGCCAATCATGGAGTTGGTTGGGGAGGACGTCGACCTGTGCTGGGAGGTGCTGAAGAAGGAGGGCCAAAACCCGGGCACCAGGGAGAACGAGAACCACCTGTTCACGCCAGAGATCAAGGCAGCAGCGCAGAGGCTTAAAGATAAGGGGGTCACATGCGAAGACATCAGTCTGTTCTCCGCGGCCCTGTACATCATCGACAGCTTCACCTCGGCGTGCATCAGGAAGCAGGACAAGACGGAGATGTGGGCAATGAACACCTTCGTCAGGCAGGACTTGATCGGGATCGAAGCTGACAGGCTGGTCGACATCCTCCCCTACGACTGCAAGAACGGCTACGCCTTGAGGAAATCAGACGGTGGACAGATCGCCTTGCACGCGAAAACCGATTGATCGAAAAAGCTTACGCTACGATGGTCGTCATCGGTCGGGCCCGAATCAAGTTGGAGGGATACGTCCTCGACGAACAAAACGGCCCTCTCGACGCCAAGGGACAGATGATCAACAGCACCCGCCGGTTCGGGCTGTTCACTCGGATCTCAGAGGAATTCTTCGGTCTCCCGAGGGTGAACGAAGGCATTCTCAGGAGTATCCAGATCACCATGGTCGTGGCTCGAGCCCTCGCCAATGGCATTGACCTCTCTATCGATGAGAACATGAGGAGAGTCGTCCGCGAATGCCGTACGACCCTCCAAAGAGCCCAGAAGAACTACACTGCCCTGAAGCCCGCTTTCGCGGAAAGGTTTGACATTCACTCCATGGGCATCGACGGCAGGGAGGGGCCCAAGAAGGAATCCGCGGCTTCCACCCAACAGGAGGTGTTGGTCGACCTTGTCCAGGTCGTCAAGAAGCTCAAGGAGGAGATGCAAACGATGCGCGGTGGTCCTCAGGAGGTTCAGGTGGGTGCTAATTGCAATAGTTTGTGCAAGCGTTAAATTTTGCGAAGAGATCTCGGACTACTTTGATTTTTTTGCACTTTGCTTTTTTCCTACGTTTACCGCATTTGCTTCCCCTACGACTACGGCAACTACTACGGCAGGCACCGCAGGCACCGCAGGCACCGCGGGCACCGCCGGCACCGCAGGCTCCGCAGGCTCCGCAGGCTCCGCAGGCTCCGCAGGCTCCGCAGGCTCCGCAGGCTCCGCAGGCTCCGCAGGCTCCGCAGGCTCCGCAGGCACCGTACAGCGGAGGGCATCCAGGTGGCGGCTTTGGGGCCATGGGGCAAATGGGACCGCGGGCATATGGTCCACCCGCGTATCAGGTGAGGAAGTTGTTGTAAGACGAACTGCTTGAAGAGTACACCTTTGAGACAGTTGTACAAAGTGTAGTAACGCGTCCCTCTCGATGTTGCCCTGGTTTAATAACACAGGCGCCTCCCGTGGTTCAGCATCCCAACCTTTACGGCACAGGAGTCTCCGGCAACTACATGTCTCTCGGAGGAGCTTACCGCCAAGGTTTCATGCCTCCCGCGGTTCAGCCCAACCCTTACGCGCGATTCCCCGGCCAGTTCGGGCCTCAGGTAAGCATTGAAGTCCAATGAACGTTTTTAATTTTGAACTTCATTTTGTTTTTTTTCATATTGAACTTGTTTTGTTTAGTCTTGAACTTAGTTTAGTTTAATCTTGAACTTCGTGATTTATGACGTGGACCAGGTTAACGGCGCCGGGTTTGGCTTCGGAGGCGGCTTCCCTGGTGTAGGCGGCTTTCCTGGTGCAGGTGGCCTCGGAGCTCTCATAATGCCTGGGCAAGCTGCCAACTTCAACTCCGGAGGCGCCTTCAGCGGATTCCCAGGCGGAGGAGGAGGGTTCACAGGAGGTGGTGGAGCTCGCCCCAAGACGTTCGTGGTTTTGCCCGATGAGAAAGAGGTACTCATGGGGGTCAACCGGTGCATCAATAAGTTGTACCATTCTGAGAAGAACAAGCGTAATGAGAGGGCTAGGACGAAGTCTCAGCAAACCCCGAGGGAGAAGTCGGGGAAGTCGGCCCCCGTCATGGACTTCGTCGAGAAGCATTTGTTTCAGGGAGACATGGGGAACACTGGAAACATGAGTGCCCTGGAGGATTTGCTTCGCCGAAGGAGCTGCAGCGAAGACGTTGCTTTCGACCCCGAGGTCAAGAAGCACGTTGAGAAGGAATTTCCGAGCTTCTATGACATGTACAAGACCCCGGACGATGTTACAGCGGCTTTGATCAAGTTCGAGGAAGTTTGGACGTGGAAGTCGTCATACAGGTGAGGTTCGACTTGGTTTGGTATTGGTAATTTGAGCTGGAAGTTGAAGTTAACTTTGGGTTGGATATCTTGTCGGAATTATTCCGGAAATACAATATTGAACCCGCCGCTGATTTCTACCCTGACTTCTTACAATTGACTCCTAGTAGTTGACACCACCGCTGACTACCACCCTGACCTCTAATAATTGACCCCGCCGCTGGCTTCCACCCTGACTTCTAATAATTGACCCCGCCGCTGGCTTCCACCCTGGCTTCTAATAATTGACCACGCCGGTGGCTTCCGCCCTGACTTCTAATAATTGACGCCGCCGCTGGCTTCCACCCTGACTTCTACGAGTTGACCCCGCCGGTGACTCCTAATAGTTGACCCCGCCGGTGACTCCTACCGCGACTCCTACCGTTGCTCCACCTACCATTGAAATGACTCCTACTTAAAATATTCAGGGGGCTTTGGTGGACCGGATTGCACAGGTGGATCCCCGAAAACAAAACACCAAAAAAAAGCCATAACATATTCAGGGGGCTTTGGCGACCACTTCAGAAGTTGACTCCTCCGCAGACTCCAAAGTGACTCCAACGCAGACTCTGCCGGCCACTTCAGTTTGTACCACGAAAAAACGTGACTCCTGCGCAGACTCATCCACCGACTCCTCCGCAGACTCTTCTGCCGACTCTGCCAGCCACTCCAGTTTTTCCACGAGAAAAAGAGTCTACGCAGACTCCTCCGCCGACTCCTGCAAAGACTTCTTCGCAGACTTCTCCGCAGACTCTGCCAGTCACTTCAGTTTTTCACCACGAGAAAACGTGACTCCTGCGCAGACTCCTCTGCCGACTCCTACCGTGAAATGCCTTACTCCTCGGCCGACTCTGGCAGCAAGAATTCCCTGGTAACCTACTACACAACGAAGCGCAATCCAGTTATATCCGCGAAAAGTCTCGACTTGAAATATTTATATATTACGACATGAGTTGGTTTGTCTGAGGTGAGTTATAGCGAGGCGGTTTGGCGTTACTGCTGTCGAGAAAGTTGAAGTTGAAGTCCGTATAGTAGTACGTTGAAAATGAAAATGAAAAGCAGGCATTTATTATAAAGATCCACAGAATCGGATTACAAAGTTAATAGTTTAAGAGAATAATATTTTGGCACATCGCCTCCACCACCCCCCTCCCCATCACTCCCCAATCTTACTCTCAACTTCTTCTCTCACTCCGACGTCTTCTCTTTTACCACCATGAAGGACGCAAAGCCCTCGCCGCAGGCCGCCAAGTCCTCAAAGGGGACTGTCACCAAGGGGGAAGGGACGTCCATCGGAGCTGCAAGTGGGCAGGCCAATGAAGCTGCTGTCAAAAAGGCCACCAAGAAAATGAAGAAGGCGTTGGACAAGGCGATTAGGGCGCACGACGATGGTGATTTTATATCCTCCATAGACCTTCTAGAGGAGGTCAAGGAGGACGCTGAGTTTGATTTCGAGGAGGAAGAACTAGAGGAGTTGATCTGGACTTTCGTCGAGAGAAACTGCAGCGATTCCGACGTTGTCAAATTTCTCGTCGAGCAAGGTCTTGAGCTCGAAAGAGATTCGTGCAATGACGACACTCCTCTGGTTTGGGCAGTCAGCCATGGAAGGTTTGATGCAGTTGAGGCACTCCTGAAGGCGGGGGCCAACCCCACCGATGATGACTATGTTTTTGTCAACGCAGCCTCTTTCTTGAACGGGAGTATGTTAAGGCTTTTGATCAAATACGGCGCAAATGTCAACGCCGGGTCAGAAAGGGACGGGACCATTCTGCATATGATCGCGAACAAGGCGGTGGCGGTGGGTGACTTGGCATGCTTAGAACTACTATTGGAGGCGGGCGCGAAGGAACGTTCCGCAGTTGGGGACAAGATGGATTCTGATTTTCAAGCAGAGATGACTCCGACGCAATTGATTCAGAAAACGTATGGCGGGGACGCGTCCAAAGTGGGTGTTTTGGAGCGTGCGGTCGACTTGCTGTATGAACACTCCTCGGCTGGGAAACGCGCGGCCAAACTAGAAAACAAAATCAACGAGCTTTCCTCTGCGCTCGGCGTCGTGGCCCAATTTTGTGAGACTTTTTCGAACCACTCGGGTGGGGGAGCAGCGGGCGGAGGGGGACTCCCGCAAGCCCAACCCGGCATTGTGCCTGCCAACAACATGCCTGGTTTCATGCCTGGTTTCATGCCTGGATACATGCCTGGCATGCCATTCCAGGGAGGAGTTCAGGGTTTTCCAGGCTTACCGGGCGTAGCACCTCCAGGTGTACCCCAAGGCCAAGCTCGTGGTGAATCCAAGAAGGAGTCGGGTTCAGGACCCAAGAAGTAGCTTTATGTTTTTTGGGTCGTAGGGTAAGCAGGGCGCGGAGCCAGGTGCAGTTTTTCCTTAGGTTTTCGATGTTTCCGAGAGGTTTTTTGGATACGAGTCTCGCGGCGCCGTTTTCCAGGCGAGGTTTTTGTCGCGTGACTCTATATTTTCCTCTAATTCAAGAGTTCAAAAAATAAAACTATTTCAACGTTTGCTCTGAGGTCAACACATGCGTTGACCACGATGTCTTCGCTGAGGTCAACCATTGATTTCAAGTCCGTTGTCCGTGTCAACCCGGGCATGTACCACTTGAGCCATGGCGCCGACCTAGAATCGGGACAAAATGAGCTAGTTGAACCATGGCACCGACCCACAATCGAAAAATGACACAAACTAACCCATTGGCGCCGACCTAGAATCGGAACATAATTCAACAAAATTTTGCTGAAGCCTTCCCGGACAATGCCATTCTATTGCGACAACCCAAGCTTAACCCGAATAGCCTTCCGCACAATGTCTTCATCACGCTCGTAGTAACAATTCTCAAAAATCGGCCTTCCATGTAAGAGCGTCTGGCGCTTTACGAAACCGTCCCAGTCGGCCGGCAAGTCGTATTTCTTCTTGTACAAAATCTTCATTAATTTTCCGATTGAACCAGACATGGCCGCGGGAACGCGTACCCCCATCTTTGCCGCGACAACAACAATCCCAGTTTCATGCCCACGTTGTTCGGCGCCGAGCAAATGGGTGGGCGTCTTCGGGTCTTGCGTCAGACGGAGTTGAGAACTTGTAGAGGAACTCTCCGTGTTTGTCGGACCTCCTTCGATGGCGAGGTCCCTCTTGGTGAGAAGAGACACGTTGTCCCTGATCTCAATCTTGGTCCGATCGTCCAGGTCCACCTCGATGTCTTGAAGAAGTGTGTACCTCCCGACCAAATCTTCAACCCTCTGGCGCTTAAGAGCTTGCTTTTGGGATTCAAGAGCTTGCCTTTCGCGTTCAAGGGAAAGCTCGACAACTTCCTTCGCGACGAGCTGGCGCTGGGAATCAGCGAGGAAACGGAATCCCGTCGGCATGCCTTGATAAATCTCCACTTCAGAACCCCCCTCAGGGCTCCCTTCCGAACTTCCTCCCAGAAGAAAGTTTTGCGTGGCGCGACCGGCAGCACTGCTTTCAAGTTGGGCGCGGCGTTGCTCGATCTCAGATATGAGAGTTGAATCCCCACCGAGAAGACGGCATACCTTGGCAGCGCTCTTGCGGCGGAAGTCGCGCGCAATTTTACCGGGGAGAAAAAACACGATTTCGACCAGTGCTTTGGCGTCCGCCACAGGGGTAAGCCTGCCTTTTTCATTGATTCGGAGTTGGGTGAGCTGATTGCCCAACTCGGGATAGTCATTCTTGAGGTTGCACAAGTAAGTATTGGCCGCACTGGAGTTGCACTGGAGAACCATCCTCACCACGTCGATGACGCTCCCCTTTTGAGTAGGGGTGTCAACCCGAATAGTAGCATTATCTACGTTGTCGATAATGGTGTCCATAATTTGCTTGATGATGGGTGAGAATAGAGCTGTGAGCTCATGCGCGCAGCGAAGTTCAAGCGAAGTTCACCAAAGTGGACCATTCAAAAAAGTCTTTGACCATAGAATTCTTTTTGATCTACAAGTATGTCTGCACACGGCCTGCAGCAACGGCCACACTGATCGAATACACACCCCAGCGCAACAGCACTCCCACACCGACACACACGAGGGAGACTTCCTAAACACCACCGCTGACTTTCACCCTGACTTCCAATAATTGACCCCGCCGGTGGCTTCCACCCTGACTCCTTATTGTTGACCCCGCCGTTGACTCCTTATTGTTGACCCCACCGCTGACTTCTAGTAGTTGACCCCGCCGGTGACTCCTACCGCGACTCCTACAGTTGCTCCACCTACCACTGAAATGACTCCTACCGTGACATGTACGGTGACTTCTACCGTGACACCGTGTATCATTTTCGGCACGAGCAAAATACTCCCACCGTGATTCCCACCGTGACTGCTACCGTCACTCCGTGACTCCTACGGGTTACTCAGTCACCTACCATTTTTTGCGAAAAGACTCTCACTCTGCTCCGCCAAATGACTCCTACCGTGCAATGCCTTAAAATATTCAGGGGGCTTTGGCGGACCGGATTGCACAGGTGGATCCCCGAAAACCAAAGACAAAAAAAAAGCCATAAAATATTCAGGGGGCTTTGGCGGACCGGATCGCACAGGTGGATCCCCGAAAACAAAACACCAAAAAAAAGCCATAAAATATTCAGGGGGCTTTGGCGACCACTTCAGCTTTTTTCCACGAAAAAAGTTGACTCCTCCGCAGACTCCAAAGTGACTCCAACGCAGACTCTTACGAAGACTCTTTCACCGACTCTGCCGGCCACTTCAGTTTTGTACCACGAAAAAACGTGACTCCTGCGCAGACTCCTCCGCCGACTCCTCCGCAGACTCTTCTGCCGACTCTGCTAGCCACTCCAGTTTTTCCACGAGAAAAAGAGTCTGCGCAGACTTCTCCGCAGAATCCTGCAAAGACTCCTCCGCAGACTCCTTTGCCGACTCTCCCGGCCACTTCAGTTTTTTACCACGAGAAAAAGGGACTCCTCCGCCGACTCTCCCGGCCACTTCAGTTTTTTACAACGAAAAAAAAAGTTACTCCTGCGCAGACTCTCCCTGCCACTTCAGTTTTTTTGCCACGAGAAAAAGGGACTCCTGCGCAGACTCTCCCGGCCACTTCAGTTTTTTACCACGAGAAAAAGGGACTCCTGCCCAGACTCCTCCGCAGACTCCTCCGCCGACCCTCCCGGCCACTTAAGTTTTTCACCACGAGAAAATATGACTCCTCCGCCGACTCTCCCGGCCACTTCAGTTTTTTTGCCACGAGAAAAAGGGACTCCTGCCCAGACTCCTCCGCAGACTCCTCCGCCGACTCTCCCGGCCACTTCAGTTTTTTACCACGAGAAAAAGGGACTCCTCCGCCGACTCTCCCGGCCACTTCAGTTTTTTAGCACGAGAAAAAGGGACTCCTGCCCAGACTCCTCCGCAGACTCCTCCTCTGACTCTGCCGGCCACTTCAGTTTTTTACCACGAGAAAAAGGGACTCCTGCGCCGACTCTCCCGGCCACTTCAGTTTTTTACCACGAGAAAAAGGGACTCCTGCCCAGACTCCTCCGCAGACTCCTCCTCTGACTCTGCCGGCCACTCCAGTTTTTTACCACGAGAAAAAGGGACTCCTCCACCGACTCTCCCGGCCACTTTAGTTTTCTTGGAAACAAAAAGTGAGCTAACCGCCGACTCTCCCGGCCACTTCAATTCTTTGCCACAAGAAAAAGTGACCCCTGCGCAGACTCCTCCACAGACTCCTCCGCAGAATTACCCGGCCACTTCTGTTTTTTACAACGAGAAAATATGACTCCTCCGCTGACTCTGCCGGCCACTTCAGTTTTTTACCACGAGAAAAAGGGACTCCTGCGCAGACTCCTCCGCAGACTTCTCCGCCGACTCTGCCGGCCACTCCAGTTTTTTACCACGAGAAAAAGGGACCCCTCCACCGACTCTTCCGGCCACTTTAGTTTTCTTGGAAACAAAAAGTGACCTAACCGCCGACTCTCCCGGCCACTTCAGCTCTTTGCCACAAGAAAAAGTGACCCCTGCGCAGACTCCTCCACAGACTCCTCCGCAGAATTACCCGGCCACTTCTGTTTTTTACCATGAGAAAAAATGACTCCTCCGCCGACTCTGCCGGCCGCTCCAGTTTTTTACCACGAGAAAATATGACTCCTCCGCTGACTCTGCCGGCCACTTCAGTTTTTTACCACGAGAAAAAGGGACTCCTGCGCAGACTTCTCCGCAGACTTCTCCGCCGACTCTGCCGGCCACTCCAGTTTTTTACCACGAGAAAATATGACTCCTCCGCCGACTCTGCCGGTCACTTCTGTTTTTTACCATGAGAAAAAATGACTCCTCCGCCGACTCTGCCGGCCACTTCTGATTTTTACAACGAGAAAAAGGGACTCCTGCGCAGACTCCTCCACAGACTTTTGAGCGGACTCCGCCGGCCACTTGAGTTTTTAACCACGAGAAAAAGAGTCTGCACACACTCCTCCGCCGACTCTTCTACCGACTCCACCGGCCACTTCAGTTTCTTACCACGAGAAAAGGTGACACCTGCGCGGACTCCTCCACAGACGTTTAAGCCGACTCCGCCGGCCACTTCAGGTTTTCATTCAATCAATATAAAGATGACTTCCCCACCGACTCTTGGAGCCACCTCAGGTTTCTATTCAATTAATCAAAAGATGACTCCTCCGCAGACTCTGGCAGCAAGAATTCCCTGGTAACCTACTACACAACGAAGCGCAATCCACTTAGATACACGAAAAGTCTCGACTTGAAATATTTTCGAACACAAAACCATGATTTCGACACTGCAGCTACATTTGCCCAGAGAACAGGTCCTCTCGGTTTTTGCAATCCATTCACTTCACGAAAAAGTCTCGACTTGAAATATTTCGCAGAAAAATGCCGTCAAGCGACGCGTGGCACATGGGTTGTATTACCTAGAGCTATACTCACGAATCATGTGCACACGGTGCGAGATTTGAAAAGTGTCGACTTGATCAAGTCGACACTTTTTCTCACGTCAGGTTTTCTGAGCCACATTCAGTCCGTGAAAAGCCCGCTGCTGTCAGCTCTTTCGGAGGCAAAAAGTTGACTCAAACGTCCGCGCGCGGGATCTGATTTTGCCCAGACAAAAAACTTTTTTGAATTTCAATTTCGGGAATCGTCCGAGGCTGGAAAAAATTTTTGGCCCATCCCGAGAGCATGCCAAAACATGCTGTCGTTTTTGGTCGAGACGCGCTTATTCCGACTACCAAGTTTGACCAGTTTCTTCCGGGTGGGACCATTTTCTGAGGATGGTGACCTATGGCTGACGCCAACCGCGGGTCTGACTACCGTTTTGTCTTCCAGGTGGGACAATTTTTC